GCAGAGCATCACCAGGGATGAAACCCAGCGTCTGGTGATGTCTATGTGTTCCAGACTTCAGGCTGTAATTGACTGCAAAGGATTTGCAACCAAGTATTAAAAAGTGAAAGTTTGATTTATGATTATTATTCTGTCCCATTACTTTTGGTTCCTTAATAAGTGGGAGGCACATATGCAAACTGTTGTAATTCCTACACCGTTCACCTGATTTTGATGTAAATACCCTCAGCTTAAAGCTGACAGTCTGTAGTTAAAGCACATCTTGTTCGTTTCATTTCAAATCCATTGTGGTGGTGTATAGAGCCAAAAATGTTAGAATTGTGTCGATGTCCCAATATTTATGGACCTGACTGTATGAACAAAAACATATCCCTCTATAGTGTGTACTTGTCTCAATCCAGAGCACTAAGTATCATTTCTGTCTGCTGCCTCCTTCCTCCGCTATCCGCATTAATCACTTCTGACAGGAGAGGGAGCTCCACCACACAGCCTGTGATCGACAGCTTCGGCTCTGTTCCTGTGTGCTTGGTGGGGGGGGGTTCCCTCCCCTCCCCTCAAATCAGTAATCACTGAGCTCTGCAGAGTTTAACTTCAGCTCCCCGCCCCCTGCTTTCTGAAAGCTCAGAAAAGCTGTACAGATTTTGTACTTTGGCTGTAGAGAAGAGAGGGTTGCAAGTAAAAAGGTACACCTTATGTAGGAGGATTTGTTTCATCTCTGTGTATCACCCGAGGCCAGTCACTTCATGGGTATATGTAAGGGTTTACAATCACTTTAATAAGCAATAAAATGAATAGATTTTCCTCATGCAGCTGCACACTATCTCTGAAGTCCTGATTTCCCAAAACTGATCATTTACATGTGTGATTGGGGGGGAGGGAGGGGTTCCCTCCAATGAGTAATCACTGAGCACTGCAGACTGTAACCTCAGCTCCCCGCCCCCTGCTAGCTCAGAAAAAGTGCAGCTGCACACTATTTCTAAAGTCCTGATTTCCCAAAACTGATCATTTACATGTGTGATTGAAAAAAACAGAAATTTACTTAGAGGAGGAGGGAGAATAGCAAGTGATTTATAATATTTGCCAGGTCAGTGACATCAGTCATATGTTTCACAACAGCAGATCAAGATTCTAACTCTCACAGGAGTGTCATGTAATGCAACTCAGTGATCATTAGGGGGCGGTATGTTACACTGCCTCACACAGGAATAAAATACCCCCGCATGCACTTCGGTGTTCAGCTTGGATGTGTTCAGATTAAAGTGAGTTCCACCCAAAAGGGAAAGTTCCCCTTTAAAGACTAGTCCCCCCCGCTCCCCATTAAGGATTGGCACCTTTGGGGAGCGGGTACCCGAATTTGACAGGTGCCCGCTCCCACTTCCACTGCATCACCTAGGCCAGGGATAGGCAACCTATGGCTCTCTAGCTGTTATGGAACTACATTTCCCATGAGGCATTGCAAAGATTACAAAACTGACAGTTACAGCTATGACTTGCAGAGGCATGATGGAACTTGTAGTCCTGCAGCTCTCAGGTTGCCTACCCCTGGCCTAGGCGATCGGAAGTGGAAGTTGTCCTCCCTCCCCGTAGTCTTGTGGGACACGTGACAGGTCCCAGAAGACTGCGGGACCATTCAGGAAGCACAGCGCTAGTCGCTCATTGTGCAGTGGGTACTCGGCTGTGAAGCTGCAAGCTATCACAGCCGGGTGCCCACACCGAAGATGCCGGCACCTGGAACACCAGACGGCTGGTGAAATGGGCTGCGGAGAGGACACCACGGGATAGTGGGACAGGTAAGTGGCTGTTTTTTAACAGCAGCTACAGTTTTTGTAGCTGCTCACTTTTATTTTTTGAAAGTGTGAGTGAAACTCCGCTTTAAGTTCAGACCCACATGTGCAAGCCTGCCAGGAAGCTGTCACCTGTAAGGGCCAATCATCTGCGGCCGGGGCATTCCCTTGCATACATTCGGCAGCAGTGCGGAGGTGATTGGCCTGTAAATGCCACAGCTTGCTGGTGGGCTCCCACACATGGTTTTGGATCTTCGTCTGAACACGTTCAAGCTCATTTACACATTCAACCTAGTTTAACTCTGTTATCGGTTCTACAAAAGCCTCCATTGAACCTATTCACGGCTGAACCTTGATGTTGCTATCCTGTAGGTAGCCTTTCTTGTGGCCATTACTTCAACCAGACATTTTCTGCATGGTCAGCATTGTCTTGTAGGTAATCCTTTTTAATCTTACAGAGGTTGTTTTGGAACCAGTAACCTCTAGTTTATCCAAATTTACGTGGTTAGTCTGGTTGAAAAAAAAGACACAAGTCCATCTAGTTCAACCAGTAGAGAAAAACACACATACAAATAGAAGTCCTCCATATACACAATCCTATACCCACAGTTGAATTAAAAAAAAAAAAAATACAATAAAGCATGAGTCAGTTTGCTCCAGTGGGGGGGATCCTTCCTATAATCGGATATTCCCCGGATCAGCTACACCCGGTGCTAATACCTATAAATGTTAGTTTCCAGTTATATTTTGTGCACTTTGGAAGGAATCCAGGCCTTTTTTAAAAACAATCTACTGAGCTGACCAGAACCAGCTCTTGAGGGAGACTATTCCACATTTTCACAGCTCTTACTGTGAAGAAGCCTTTCTGTATTTGGAGATTAAATTTTTTTTCCTCCATGCATAAAGGGTGCCCCCTTGTCCTTTGTGATGACCTTAAAGTGGATAACTCTGCACCAAGGTCTCTATTTGGATCACTATTTACACATGGTGACCAAATCTCCCTTTCTCGAAAGAATACGTTCAGTTCAGCTAATCTTTCCTCATAGCTGAGCTCCTCCATGCTTCTTATCTGTTTGGTTGACCTCCTCGGCACTTTCTCCAGTTCACCGATACTTTTTTGTAAACGTGTCCAAAACTGAACTGCGTATTCCAGACGAGGTATTGGAGAGCAGCCCTCTGCCTCAGAAAATTTGCTCACTTAACACCTTGATGCTGACAGTACGCAAATATGCGGCCTTTCGGCAGCTCGGCCTTGACGCCGAGCAGCCGCATATTTGCGTACCATTTGAAAACACATATGTGCTGAGAGCACGCGCCCAGCACACATGTCGGTGTCTCACGGAAAGGTCCTGATCTCCCCTTGCGATCGGGACCTTTTCCGATCATGTGACTGCTGTAACAGTGAATCACGGCGATCATTTGACCCTAAAACCGCACCCCGTCTCCCGGCATCTGAAACGTCTTAAATGGCCGGGAGGCTCTGGCGCGAAGAGGTTAAAGATAAGTGGTTTTATCTGTCCAGTATATTTGAAATCATGTTATGGTCACTACTATCCAGATGTTCTTTTAGCTGAACATTAATAATAAGCTCTGCATGGTTTGAGATTACCAGGTCCAGCAGAGCATCATTTCTAGTTGGGGCTTCTATAAACTACTATAAAATTGTCTTGTAATAGGTTATACATTGCTGCCCTTTAACTGTTTCAGCACTGCCATTATCCCAATCAATTTCAGGGTGGTTAAATTTTCTGAATATTATCACTGTCCCAGCTCTTCTATCTGTGCAGGGATTCTCCACCTCCTCATTAACACTGGGTGGCGTATGACAAACTCCAGTGAATAACTTTACACACCCCTATATACAGTTCCACCCATCACAGTGGTTTCTGCCATTGGCAGACTGATTCCTTGTTGGCAGTGCAAGTACAGTAGGTCCTAAAGAGATTATCCGTTTTCCAAATCCACTATTTATAAGTTGATTTGACAGGTTTCCTTGCAGGCCTAGAGTTCTGAAATAACCTTGTTTTTCTTTTTAAGTCCACTCCACTAAGGCAGTTAGTTTTTCCCCAGGTCTTGGTGTCACAGATTAGCTGTGACCTGGTTATTCATTCATACTTTCTCTAGGTTTTACAAGGTCCATGGGTCTGCCACGGCAGATGCTAGTTTAGGATAAAAGGGCCTGCAAGTTTTAATTCTCCTAAAAAATTCTCCTTTGTGTTTGACCTTTTCTTGTTTGTCTCATTCACCTGTGTTGTTTGGATGTGTCCACCCCTTCGGTTTGAACTGCTTTTGAACATCCCTAGGTTTCTTACTACCAAGCTGTCTCTCTAAATGGACAATAAAGAAAATTAGAAGTTTTTTACTCGCCATAAAACCCTTTCCTTAGTGTCCATTGAGAGACACAGCTTCCTCCCGTCTTATGCTATCATTGCTTGTTACAACTGAGCACTTGGGAGAGGTTATAGCCTCTAGGGCAGCCATTCTTGACCAGGGTTCTTTGATACCCTAGGGGTTCTCCAGAGGTTGCCAGGGGTTCTTTGAGTCGTGGCTGATTGTCCTCCTGATTGTACCCTATGTAGTTTTGGGTCCAGCAACACTTTACAGAGCCAGGGGCCTGACTCTAATAATCTTTTTCACCGTCTCTAAAGGTGGCATTCTGACCACCTCTCTAAGGGGGGCATTCTTTCCACTCACTACCAATATACTGGTTATTTTTTCCACCAACCTCCAATTAATAAGGGTTTCCCTGGGGTAAAATGGTTAAGAAAGGCTGCTCTAGGGGGCTGGCATTCAGTTTTCTACTGCCTGATGTCCGTTTCCTTCGTAGGCGGTGGTATAAGCCTAGGTTTCGTACTATCTAGCTGTGTCTCTCAATGGACTTCAAGAAAAAATAATTCTGGTAAACACAAAAATCCTATCTTTTTGTATGTTGTTACTGCAGATGATGATGATGTAATTATTGAGAGGCCACGGGGTCCTGAGAAATTCAACCTAAGAAATATTCCTTCAAACAAAGTCCAGTACAACATAAAAAATAGTGGATACTGCCAAAGATTGGTGAGATGGCCAGTTGGTCAGAAAGAGGATGTCGCCCTCAAACGTTTTGTTCCGGCCTTGCCAAAGGAACCCGAAAGGACTTTTAACTGCACTGAATGTGGGAAGAGGTTTTTAAAGCTATCCGATCTTAGACTTCACCAAGGAATCCACAAAATGAAAATGAAACAGTTTAACGGGTCTGTGGCCCAGCTGAGACCCCAGCCAAAGGTCGAGACCGGTCCAAAGGCTCCTGTCGAGGACAGCTTTCTTCAAAGAGCATCGATCAAAAATACACCTGAAGCAAAGCCTTTGTCGTGCGTGTTTGGAAACGATGTAAGCCCCAACTCCAGCATCGTACAAAGTCCAAAATCATTCGCCAAGGAAAGACGGTTCGTATGTAGGTTCTGCGGCAAAAGGTTTCAGAATAACAGTAACCTTATTGGACATGAGAGAGAATTCACACAGGAGAGAAAACCGTTTGAATGTCCCGAATGCGGAAAAAGTTTCAGCCAGAAGGCCAACCTCACCACCCATCAGAGACTTCATACTGGGGAAAGGCCCTTTGTGTGCATCACATGCGGCAAAGGCTTTGCCCAAAAGATAAACCTTCTAACGCACGAGCAGACGCATGCAAAGAAGAAAAAGAAGATGGATGGAAAGCACGTTATGTTGAACTAATTCCGTATTTCACTTCAGGTTGTGGCTGAATATGCATCAGCTGCGATTACCATAAAGTGCCTGAGAATCACTTGTTCCTCTACACTAGGGGCTAAGCTATGTGGACCAGATATGACTGAAGGAACAAACTCTTCTAAAGTGGTCGCTTTTTGGGAGGAAAAAGTAGGATATCATTGAACGGTTACAGAAAATGGCAAAAAAAAAAAAAAAAAAGACCCAGGTTATAGATTTTATTTCCCGGACTCCTTCAGGTTGGAAAGTTTCAGTGAAGCGTTTTTATCAGTGGTGAAATTTAAAAGGACAGTCAAGGTGGTAGCCCCTCAGTTCAGAACTTATATATTGAAAAAACACTGGGAAAGTAATGGTTGTCTTAAACTGATATGAGGGTGATTTGAGGATGATTAATGTCCCAAAAAGCTCTCCGAACCTTGATGCTGCTAACAGCATTGTTGTATTTTTAGAAAATGTAATTTGTACCCAAACCAAGAAAAGCTTTTCAAAGTCAAGTTCACGTGGAATCATTTAATTTCAAAAGTTGACTTTGTGTCAATGTCTCCTTAGCTGGTCCTATCGATCACTGACAGCGATATGCAAATTTCTATCCCGCGTCGCCCAGTTATATTAAAGAAGTTTACCTTACAGTTTTCCAGAATGTGGTGTGGACATCTCAGCAGCAAGTTAGAGGCCCCCTGTCTTGTATTGGGGATAGGAATCGGCCCTCAGTTGGAGCTCAAGTTGTACTTTACCTTCAGGGAGCTAATTTAACATACAAAAGCAATTTGAATTCTTTTAGGCTATTACATTAAGTTTTATATATTTTCCTCTTGCCACGTTCCCTCAATTTGACACAGTCTAATTAGATTACCAGAAAAGCAATTTTATATCATTCATGGTTATTTTCTGAAAATAAAGCTAGCTATTTTTAGCTAGAAATGACCGAAATCAGACCTTCTCATCATAAAATATGCAGCGAGAAAAGACATAGTAAGGTAAAGTTCAACTATTCTCGAACTAGGGAGCACATAGGGAGCAGCCCTCTAACCTTTGTAAAACGTCCACAAAGATATGTTAACGGGACAGACCATTAGCCTGAAAGTTAAATATGAGGACTAGAGGAGCTTTCACTTTCATAGTAAAAAGAATCCAAACTTTATTAATAATCAAAATTTGACACAAAAAAAAAGACCACATTGAAATTCTACAACCTTCATCATCCACCATTAAAATCTTGATGATAAGGTTGTCAGTACATAATCTGGGATTCCCAGGCACATCAGCATCCACTATAATCATAAAAATAAAATAATCATTAATATCATATTAATATAATCATATTTAACTTCTGAGGAAGCCCAATGTCGGAGCAAAACCCATTGACGTCATGATGACATCAGGACACCCACCAGACCACACCCATAGGAATGGCCAAGACTGCTACACATTGACAGATATAAGGAACCTAATATATAGGACTAGGAAGTGGAAGCCTTTACTGACACTGAAAATTGGCATGTGGGTCTTTGCAGTGAAAGCCCAAGCCCACACAAAGGTTTGGTGAGCCATCATAGAATAAGTGGCTGCTACAGCTAATGGTCCGTCCAAATAACATATCTTTGTGGAACTTCTCAAAAGATTTAAATCTCCAACTTAGAGGAAAAACTTTATCTTTTCAGTTTTAGACTAGAAAGGGCTAGAACCTCTAGCAAGTTTGTATTGCTAAAAGGTATAGGGCACCCAATTGTTGGCTTTGATAGCTGTTCCAACAGAATTTCGGGCCTCGTATATGGAAATTAATTTCTATGTCTCAGATACAGTAGACTGTTTGAGATATCTGTGCCTATTGCTGGTGTTACTTCCTGAGATAAATGGTGCCAGCCAACCTTGAATATTTATGGAACCATCTGAAAATTTGTTCCCTTGTAGAGATTTGATCCTGTTTTTACAGCTGACTGCCCTTTGGTGTCTATGGGCTTACGTATTCTTTCCACATTTCCTTCAATATAGAAAGAATAAAACTGGAGTATGGAGATTGGAGTTTTTTCAGAATAATTTAGGATGATGCTCTTTAATTGCACATTTAATGTCTATATCGGAGAGGCCCGTGGTTGAAATGGTGCCAAGATCCCTTGACCGTTTTAATTCACCACTGATATACATTGCTTCATTGTAGGAATGTACACAAATGGTCACAGCGGGTACAAAGCCTACATTCAAGGACTGATTTCAGTCTATCATTAACTTGTAGAAGATCGTTCTTAGCTGGTTACGATCAAACATTACCAGTGTATTTTAGCCCCAAAGTCTACTTATTTTTAAATGCACACTATACATTTGTTGAGTCGCAGGCTAATTTTACTATTACGTTTTATGGACTCGTATTTTGACAGGTGCTACTCTGAGAAGATAAGATACATACAAAAAAAAAAAAAAGTACCTCAGACATGAGAAGTATTTTAGAGGTTTCTAAAGTACGAATCATTTGTTCCAATTTTTCTAGCCTTATGTTAAAGTTTAAAAAAACAAAAACAAAAAAAAAAACAAAACAAATCTATATAAAAAAATAGTTGTAACCGGTTTGTATATAACAGTTGTGTTTTAGATATCGGTTCATGGCTGAAAGTCTAGACCGTTTGTCCACTAATAACAGTTTTCAGGGGTGAAAAAAAAAAAAAAAAAATATCCTGTACATAGATTAGTATCTCTCTCCCCAACTCTCAGACCTCAATGACACTTTTCCAGTATGCTAATTGTGTTGTGCAACCCTCGAAAAAGAAAAAAAAAGTCTCTATTTTTTAAAAAAATAATGTTGACTGCAAACTTGGAGGAGAGAAATGTTTTTGTCCTCTTTTTTTTTTTCTTTGTTATTTATTGAATAGTTAATCTGTTAGTGCAAAACTCTCCATCAGGTTTTTTGGTAAAGGTTTTAATGTTAACACTAAAAAAACAAAAAACAAAACATCCTGCTAAGACATATAACCTCCAGATGTAATTTATAGCTTAGTAGTTTTCGATTTGTGCTTCTATGTAGGCAATGCTGACAATGTTACATAAACCTCCATGTTTTAATGGTGTGTTATTTGCCAAGTAGACAAGCGATATTTTCTGGAGTGAAACTCTAAAATGTTGTAGATGGCTTTTTTTTTTTCCTTGTGCTTTATCCTTTTTTTATATAGTTTGTTTTAAATTTTTTGATACTCCTGGATGAGTTTCAACAATATATTTGACTGATTTTAGGTTGTGAAAGAGCATTTGGGCAGGCAGTCACACGTATAAATCTCTGGTGAGGTAGACGCAACCCCTCCGTTTGGTGCAGGTCAAGGAATAGGAATTGAATGCTTGTGCCATATTAAGTATACAGTGCTTAAGTATAAAAACTAAAGGTATCCATACTCTGACATGAATGAGAAATGGGAATTGGACAATAATACACAAACCACTTCCAGCCCTTAAAGTACTGCCATAAAGTCTCAATGTTCTGCGGCCTATCAACTGCAGTACGACTGACTCCTTCCAGTGTGTTCCGTCGGTGCGGCCCTCCTCCGATGAGGAAATCTGGTAGATAATTGTAACAATGCACACGGGAGGGCCTAAACACCTAGTACATTGTCTAAAGCTTATTGAAATAAAAACAAACAGCCAAATCCATACTCACATAATAAGGAAATAAGCGAGCGTTAAACCAAATAATGATCCAGTGGGGGAGTCACATGGCCTGACCTGATGTATCACTGTTGGCGAACTGGCGCATTTCGGAGGATGCACCCCCTTCCTCAGAGCTATGGCCAACCAACACGGCCATCATCATTGGTGGTTGTTGATGTATTTTGATTAACATACCAACACGGCCATCATCATTGGTGGTTGTTGACGTATTTTGATTGACATACCAACACGGCCATCATCATTGGTGGTTGTTGACATATTTTGATTGACATACCAACACGGCCATCATCATTGGTGGTTAACGTATTTTGATTGACATACCAACACGGCTATCATCATTGGTGGTTGTTGACATATTTTGATTGACATACCAACACGGCCATCATCATTGGTGGTTGTTGATGTATTTTGATTGACATACCAACACGGCCATCATCATTGGTGGTTGTTGACGTATTTTGATTGACAACCAACACAGCCATCATCATTGGTGGTTGTTGACATATGTTAATTGACGTACCAACACGGCCATCATCATTGGTGGTTTGTTGACATATTTAATTGACATACCAACACGGCCATCATCATTGGTGGTTGTTCACATATTTTGATTGACATACCAACACGGCCATCATCATTGGTGGTTAACGTATTTTGATTGACATACCAACACAGCCATCATCATCGGTGGTTGTTGACGTATTTTGATTGACATACCAACACGGCTATCATCATTGGTGGTTGTTGACATATTTAATTGACATACCAACACGGCCATCATCATTGGTGGTTGTTGACATATTTTGATTGACATACCAACACGGCCATCATCATTGGTGGTTGTTGACGTATTTTGATTGACATACCAACACGGCCATCATCATTGGTGGTTGTTGACGTATTTTGATTGACATACCAACACGGCCATCATCATTGGTGGTTGTTGACATATGTTGATTGACATACCAATACGGCCATCATCATTGGTGGTTGTTGACGTATTTTGATTGACATACAAACACAGCCATCATCATTGATTGGTTGTTGACATATTTTGATTGACCTTTACTGTCACCTTTGACCTGGTATGTTGCTGAGTGACCGCCTTTTTCTGTGGGAGGTGTATGAATATATATGACGATGGTTGTGTTGGTTGGCCATATCTCCGAGGAAGGGAGTGCGTCCCCCAAAGTGCGTCAGCTTGCCAACATAGTGGTGCATCAGGTCATGTCATGTGACTCCCTCACTGGACTGTTATTTGGTAAATCTCAACACTCGTTTATTCCCTCAATGTTGTGAGTATGAATTTGGTTGTTTGTTTTTATCTGTCAAGGTCC